TGCAGGTGAAGAAGGCGGTGGAGGCCCTGCTGGCTTTCGCCAGAAGCAAGGCCAAGGGAGACGCGCTGCTCCTCAACGAGAGCGAGAACGTCCACCTCCTGGTGACCGTCTGGAAGGTCCCGCGGGCGGCACAGATCATCAAAATGTAAGAGGCCCACCCACCCTCAGCCCTGTGGTTACAGGGGTTGCTGGTGTCCCTTGGCTTGGCAAAGAGCGCTGTGCTGATTCTGAGCTCAGGGGATTTGGCAGCCGCGGGCCTGCCCTGGCAGTCCCCGTGCCGGGGGCGAGAGCTGCTGGACCGGGCCGGGCTTTACTCCCGCTTGCGGTGTGTCTTTCAATCTTGAAGCTCAAGAACAGAAATCAACCTCTTCTTTGTCTCAACCCACCAGTAAGTCATTAGAAAGACCCCTTCTTCGTTCTTGCAATACCTAAACCCCAATATGAATTAGAAGTCGTCTTTTTAAACTGTAGCTGTGCTGTACTGAGAAAGGTTACAGCTATTTATCTGTGCCCCAGTCCTACAGAGGCTTGCCTAATGACTGGATGAAGTCATGGTGTGAAGAGAGGAGGATGGATGCTCCTCCTCCCCCTCCCAGGACCGGTGTGTTAACGGCTCCTGGCAGGACAGATGGATGCAGTGGTGTATCTGACTGGAGCCACGGTATATGATTGTTTAACTGTTACAGTTTCGTGTGCTTTAAAACACATAGCTTCAACTCAGGACGTTTAGTAGCTAACAAAGAACAGAATCTAGGTAGATAGCTTCCCTGCAGTATGTGTTAAAAGGTAATGATCTCTCGGTGTAGACCTAGTTCTGGAAAAAACTTCTTTCTACTCTTAGACGTGCCCTGTCCATCTCATATTCTCGTTGTAGACCGCTGCCCCATGGCATTCGACCAGAAACAGCTGAGGTTTGCCTGTTCACAAAGGACGAACCAAATTTATCAGCAGAACAGACTGAAAATCTGTACAGGAAACTTTTAACCCAGAATGGGATCAGAGGTGTTAGCCAGGTAAGAGATGCATGATGGCATAACACAGTACTGTCACTTCTTTTCTCTTGTACCAAGGAAAAGGGAAAGCAGTTGTTTAATTTTCTGATCTCAATGGTTCCGAGTTAATGATCTCTAGTAAGATTTTTCTGACTATTCAAAGTGTAGTTTTTTTTAACTTCTCAATTTACTCAGAATATTCAACAAGATCTTTAGCAATTGGATGTAATTGCTATATAAATGCTCAATATGTAGTTTGGAAATATGAAATATGGAAAAACTCATAGTGTAAAAGAATATTTGAGTTCTTTGCAGCTGGATTGGATTGTTTACACTGCTAGCAGTGAAACTAGAAAATAATTATATTGTTGTATTTAACCTTGGTTTAGATGTTACCGTGTACTCAAGTTCTGTTTGGTGATTTGCAGTTACTATGCAAGAGATCCGTGTTGTTTGAGTCTTAAAACAAAAAAGTATTGTATCCTTTTTTCTATTGATTTTCTTCAGCGTGCTAAAGTAAGGCACCGTGATAGGCTATCAGTTACGCAAGTTAATTCTGCGCAGTTCTTAAAAGTATTCTGTGCTGTGTCTTCAGCAGTGGGGACTAAACTGTTACTTGCATTGCAGATCATCTCATACAAAACTCTCAAAAAGGAGTATAAACTATTTGAAGCAAAGCGTCGCCTCCTGAACAGATTTGATCTCTTTTTGTCTGATGACCGAATTAGAAGGCTTTTGCCCTCGCATCTAGGAAAACACTTTTATGAAAGGAAAAAGTAGGTCTTTAAATTCTGTACGCCCTTTTTGTGTTATCTTTTTGTTAGATTCTCCTTAGTAAAATTTTGGTTGGTTGGTTTGGGGGTGGTGGGTTTGTTTGGGGGTTTTAATATTAATTTTTTTTTTATTTTTATTTTTTTATTTCCCATCTTTCTTTTTTAGGGCACCTTTATCTGTAAACCTGAAAGCCAAAAATCTTGCTAAGGAACTACAAAAACATATCCAGGGGACTGCGCTCCCAGTTACCAACAAAGGATGCTGTTAGTAAGTATGAGTAGATTAATACTTAACTTGAAGGATGATTGTACCTTAACTGTAGGAATTTTAAGTGAGTTATTTTTATTCCATTAATGTGTGAATGGAAGAGGTTAAGGGTCATCATTCCAGATATGGGCCATTTTAAGCCTTAATCTATAGAAAAACATAGTAGTTCTACTTACTAAGAAGTTTTACAGTAAAGTTTTACTTTTTGTGTCTTTTTTTTTTCTCCTTAAACCTAAGGAATTTCTAGGCAACTGTTGCTGTCAAACAGCATGTACAATCTTAGAAACATATTACTGTTAATTAGCTAAAAACTACTTCCAAAATATTCTATTCTTGTAAGACTTTCTTCATTTATTGTGCATCTAAAAGGATCTATATTAGTAATATGCTTAGTAATAGAAGCCAGACATTGCATATCCCAATACAGAAAGGTTAATACACGTAAATCTATTCTGACTGTTATTACAAAAGACTTCTGCAATCTTTATGAAAGTTAAGGTAATTGCAGATAAGTGGGCTTTTTAAATTTCTGGTATGCCTAAAGCCAAGTAACTTGAAGTATGTTTATTTGCCCACATACAAATATTACTCTTCACTTCTTTCAGTACAGCACGTATAGGTCACACTGGAATGAAGGCTGATGATATACTAGATAATGTCATTGCAGCAGCTGAGGTGATTGCCAAGAAGTTACCAAAGGTACTGCTGATTGACTGTATTAAAGACAAGTCAGTTCATAATTCAGCCTTGTTACTTTTACATAATATACTCGTTTTTTTGTTGCAGAATTGGAAAAATATAAAAGTTCTTCACCTCAAAACACTTAAATCAGTTGCACTTCCGATTTTTACTGCAAATATCTCCAACTTGGATGAGCTTGACAGAGAGCCATCTCTCAAAAAAAAGGAAGTAAAGGTAAAAAAATAATTCTTCAAACTTTCCATAAAGCCACGTTGGAACAACTAGTTCTTTGGCTTCCTTTTATGCATTGTAGTGTCTTGGATTTAAACATTTTAGCAGTTGATCCCAGGCGTCTATGCCTACAAATGAGTTAGGCACTCCTGACTCTGAGGCCTTCAGATCGTGGAATTAAATCATGGAAACTCCCTGATAGGTTGTAAATCAAACTAGAAATAAGTGTTTCTAGTCCTAAACTGTAGGGAGCTGAGATTAATCTTGGAACTTCTGCTTGTATTGTTTATTCATATTTGCCTTCTGAAAATACACTTGTTAACGTATACGTGGATTCAGACTGTGCATCCATTATTTGTTGGCTAATCAGTGGCATCTGAGTAATTCATAAGCTCATATATTTATGTATATGAGGGGGGCTCACCTACTTTTTAAAAAAGTTTTTAAAAAGTTTTAAAATTCCGTTGTGCTGAGTTCTGCTTATTATGTTCTTTTGTCTAAAATAAATTTGGAGCATGAATATTCAACTTAAAGACCATAATCATGACATCATTATCACTTACTTATGAGCTATTTATAATAAAATTCTGAAAGTAATGCATTTTTTCATATTTAACTTATGGTGGACCAGTCCAGGTCCGTTAAACAACAGTATTTAAATTAATGTTGCTAGGCCATCTTATTTTTAACCATATGAAAATAATTATTATAGATTTAGAAATGTTATGGGGATTTGTCTGAGATCTACTTCAAATTAATTCTAGAAGGGAAAGAACAAGAATCCAAAGAAGGCAGCTAAAAAACAGAATTCAAGTCAAGTCACTTTGACAACTGACATTAATGGTGCTGATGCTGCTGCTACCAAGGAGCTTGCGATAAAAGAGAAAGAAGTAGTCCAAGAACCAGGTGATCACGATGATGATGGTGATGAAGAAATTCCACAACTGGTGCCTATGCAAACAATCAGCTTAGCTGAGCTGAAGGTAATTGTTTAATAATACTGAGAAACTCACATTTCCTAACGGAAAACTAAAGATTTTGAACTGTTTAAATTGCTCATTGCTCTGTAGGGAAGTGTGTGTTAACACGCTTCAAGTGAACTGGATTTTTTGTGAATATGTCATGAAAGCAAGAGTTGAGTGTATGTGGGAGGAGATACCTTGGGGAGACGGTTTGGTTTGGGGTTTTTTGGTTTTGAGCATTTTCTTAGTTTTTAGTTAACCCCTCTTACAGACAAAGGAAGCCAGTTGTTATTGTCCTTTTACGTATTTTTCTGAATAACAGCAATTTTGTCTAGGTTGAATAACAAGCCTTAGTTAGAAGAAAGGGTAAATGATTGAGAAACAGCTTAATCAAATCATAAAATTTTTAATTCAAAATTTCTTGTAAAGGTAAACTTCAGTGTACTGTAATGTATCATTTTGTCTGGGAGTGCAAAACTTGAGGAAAACCAAGTAACATTCTCTAGGATAGTAACATGCAACAATAACCATCACATAATATGAATTGAGAGCTAGCAGCTTGCATGAAGTATTATACAGACTTCTTGTTGCCAGTATTGGAGATGATGGGATTCATGTCATTAACATGTCTGCAAACCAACCACATCAGATAATGCTGACATTTAACAACTGCCTAGGAAAGATACTTGGATGAATAAAACAACAGCACTTACAAATTCAACTTAGTTATACTGCATTCATGATTGGAGCATATCCTTAAACTCTTAATGATGTACCTCTTCAGGGATGCCCAAACTAAAACTATGACTATGTGCAAGCTGCTGTCATGCAGCAGGTGTAGATTAGCTGATGTGATGTGGTTGCCTGAGCCCTATTTCCAGAGACCTGGATAGATAGATACAGCTAGAGCTGGGTTGTATGAGTTGTTCTGATGACAGCAGCCTTCTTTCATGAGGGCCATTTGGCAGTATGTGATGAACTCTGGGGAATACTAGGCCTAGTGCACAAATAAGAGTGCAGTCAGTTTGTGTGTATACAGCTGGACTTCAAATAGAGCTGATCTCCATTCAGTCAGTTAAGCCTGGAAATGCAGCAAGAGGACTGTGGTTTAAAGCTGTGCCAGCAGAGGTCAGTGGCTTGACTGGCCAAGAGGATCCTTGCATCTGTTAAATCTATTTACTTTCTTCCTATTTTGTTTTTTTTTTCTCATTATTTTCTTTATTTAGTTCCGTGTTTAATCCTCTGCTTCTATACAGAAATGTGAACGAATTATTTGGTCTAGGGCACAGTTTAATCGATAGAAAGCATTTGTCATTTATAGTGGTTTTCACTGAACCTTCTTCAAAAACAGTAAAGATGCTTCTTCGGTGCAAGGATAATTTTTTGTGTGTCTTAAATACAGAAAATGGAACCAACTCCAGAAAAAGGTGAAGACCTGAGCAAGAAAACGAAAACACCCCTCAGTAAGAGAAAGAAACAACCTCTAGCTCTGGAAACTCCAAAAACAAAACATAAAGTTACAGAAGAGTGTGCAGACTTGCAGACATCGCCAAAACAGAAAAAAGCCAAGCAGCTCAGCATGCCAAAGGAAGCAATAAAAGAAAAAGAGATGAAAAAGACACCCAAAAAGCCTGAAGCAAAGTCTTTTGCAACACCCAAGGCTGGCAAATCAGTACAGTCAGCCAAGAAGTCTTCAAAAACACCAAAGCAAACACCCAAGAAAGCGCGCAGGCCACAGTCAGCATGAATGTCTGTTGTAACGCATTTTATATAGTCACTCAGGAGTGTCTTTTTAGTAAACATATATTGATGAAGTAAAATACCTTCTTAAGAAAATCTGATCCCAAGAGCTTTTTTCACTGAGACCTGTAATGATTCATTTGTGTTTCCTTCTAATTGACGAGCTGGAACAAATAAAATCATGATCTTAACTGGCTCTGTTTCTTAGCTTTTATCTTTTCCTGGCCCAAACTAAAAGCACTCAAACAAGTGCCTAAGGGCAGGGAGGTGACTATGCCAGAAAAACTAAGAAATACTTTATAAATGACATCTTTCTGAAGCATGACATAGTACTGGAACAAACAAGGGCTGAAACAAGAAGCATGCATATGAAGAGCAGCAATCTATTTAACATGTGGTTGAAAATGTGAAATAGCAGCTACCATTTTTTCTTAATTTGTTCAATATAACGAAAACAGGTTGACATATATCAATCTTATTCCAGATACTTGAGTTAGCAGCTAGATAACAAGCCAAGCTTAATGTATTTTTTTTACCTATTTTTAACCTAGGGTATTTGCGTGTTTAAAAAAAAATTAAAAAGCCTGGACAAATTTATCATTTATACTTTATGATATCAAGCAAAATCTCCTTACCTTCACTTTTGGGCTTTATTTCTGCTACCAGAACAATTGAGGGTATCCCTTCATGATGGTCGCAATACTGTTGTTTCTTCCATCTGAAAACCACCAAAGGCTGTGTGAATTTGGGGTGTGTCAGCTAAGTGAACCAGTCCCATAAAGGCATGAAAAATACACACTGCAGAACTGCAAGCTTACATATTTGGAATTTTACAGAATAACCAAATTGTTGCTCTCTGTGATTATTTCACATCCTTCTCAGAGTGAGGATAAAAGGCAGATTATGATGAAAAGTCCTAGTGGTATAAGCAGTATTTTATAAATCCCAATAGGAAAAAGGTTGTAAGAGACAAGAAGCTTAATTAACAGTATGTAACCAGCCTAATTTGCAGAGTTCAAAAAAAACCTATGCCATCTCCTATATGGGACATCCTATTTCAAGAGATTTACTACCTAGAAAGTAATTTGGTATAGATAAAAAGTGGTAAAATGAACACTAAAGAATATGAAAAGATTATGCTTGATGGTGTCAATTTGCTGTAATCCGTGACCTCTTGTTCTAGTCTACCATAAAGATTTTTTAATCAAGAAACAAATGAATCTCAGCCAAAAAAGCAAGTCTGACTCAATGATCCCTGTTAGATACACGCTAACAAAAAGATCTGCTCTTGTCCAAAAATAATCCCATCACTTTCTAGTCTGGGCTGCAAAATACTACTTTACTTCTATAATAGCAAAGTAAGAGAACAGATACAGAACTCACCTCCTTTCTGGAAATGTGTTTTTGTATCTAATCATTGATGTTAAAATGTTTCTTAATTTGTAGATGTGTAGAAAATGGTGAAATTAAGATCACAACTTCTGTATGAATAATTGATAGTGAATCGTACTAGCTTGTAGGTGCTGGAAAAAGACATCCTTCACATTGAAAATATTAACAAGTACTGCCTTGAAATTCTGCAGCACTTTGAGCCAATCTATGTCAGGACTGCAATAGTTAGTCTTGCCTTTTCTTTGATAACAGCACTGGAATTCATACAGCTGGGTAAGACATGTAAAGCCTCTGATTACACAGCCACAAACTAACCCATTGGGGAAAAAGTGTGTGTATATATAAAAATATACAATATAGCAGAATTTGTTCCTTTTATGTTGCTAAGTATCCAGGATTCTGGCAGTTAAATAAGATGTAACACTACTGATTGGATATTTATTCTTCCTATGATAATGTACTCTTTTATTAAAAATTCATATATTTAGAATTCAAAAAACCAGTGGATGATAATTTGACATAGCTATTGCAGATCACTTCGAGACATTTGCAGTAGTCACCCTTGCTCAGAAGCAGTAAGTTACCATTGTTACAGGGAGGTACATTTCTCAGCAAACTGTATGTATTGATGGTCAGTGTTGAATGATAGAGTTAAATTTCTTATGTTTATTTAGGAAACAATTTCTTAGTAATGTTTTTCTTGCTTGTTTAAGAGACGTGGAAAAAACTGTCACTTTGCTGTTAAAGAAAGGAGGAAATATGAAAAACTAACATTCATTCAAGTTGAAACTGTGCCTATTGCTGATGCATTACAGAATCAAATCAGGTATAAAATACAATTGTTTTCAATTAACTGATTTCAACTGGCAAGCTGTAAGGACCTGTCCTGGTTTCGGCTGGGATAGAGTTAATTTTCTTCATAGTAGCTAGCATAGTGCTGTGTTTTGGATTTAGTACCAGAAGAATGTTGATAACACACTGATGTTTTCAGCTGTTGCCAAATAGTACTCAGACTACTCAAGGACTTTTTGAGCTTCTCCTGCTCGGCCAGGTGCATAACAAGCTGGGAGTACAGCACAGCTAGGACAGCTAACCCAAACTGACCAAAGGGCTACTCCATACCATATAACATCATGCTCGGGGGGAGTTAGTCAGTCGGTCGGTTGCGGGGAGAGTGCTCGCGGCTCGGGGACTGCTGGCAGCTCGGGACGGGCTGGGCATCGGTCGGTGAGTGGTGAGCAATTGCATTGTGCATCATTCGTTTTGTATATTCTGTTATCATTCTCATTATTACTATTATTATTATTTTCTCTTATTAAACTGTCTTTATCTCAGCCCTCAGCTCTAACCTTTTATTTTCTTTCCGATTCTCTCCCCCATCCCACTGAGGGAGGGGGGAGTGAGCGAGCGGCTGCGTGGTGCTGAGTTGCCAGCCGGGTTAAACCACGACAGGACCCAACCATGACTTCACATCCTTACTATAAATGCTCTTGCAACAAAGATAACTGAATTTTCTATGCTGTCACAGAATCACAGAATGGCAAGGGTTGGAAGGGACCTCAGGGGATCACCTAGTCCAACCCTCCTAGAGCATGTTACACAGGACTTCATCCAGGCAGGTTTTGAATATCTCCAGAGAAGGAGACTCCACAACCCCCCCTGGGCAGCCTGTTCCCTTGCTCAGTCATCCTCAAAGTGAAGTTTTTCCTCATATTCAACTGAAATCTCTTATGTTTCAGTTTGTGCCCATTGCCCCTTGTCCTGTTGCTGGGCACCACTGCAAAGAGTCTGGCTCCGTCCTTGTGACCTCCACCCTTAAGATACTTGTATGTGTTGATGAGGTCCCCTCTCAGCCTTCTCCTCTTCAGCCTGAACAAGCCCAACTCTCTTAGCCTTTCCTCGTAGCGGAGATGCTCCAGTCCCTTTATCATCCTTGTTGCTCTCCTCTGAACCCTCTCTAGGAGTTCCTCACCCTTCTTTGAACCAGGGAGCCCAGAACTGGACACAGTACTCCAGGTGGGGTCTCACCAGGGCAGATTAGAGGGGGAGGATAACCTGAAAACACCTCCCCAAGGGTCTGAGCTGGTTTAGCTCTGCATGGTACATTGGTGACTATTAAGTTCAGTCTTACATGAACAGTTAGGGTGCAGTAGTCGCGTCTGAGCCTTTGTAAGGATGTTTCTGGGAATAACTATCAAGATATTAAAGCAAATCTAGTCTGTTTACATATAAATTACTATAGACCAACCATTTTTATTCCTGTAATATTTATTCTGACTGACTTTAGAAATAGAAGATGAAAGTTTTAATAGACATCTGAATAATTATTTAAGGTACTGTATCTTTGATCTTACAATCTTTATTTTATTTAAAAATTGAAGGTGGAAAGAATGGAGGAATGAACTATATAACCCATTTATGGTATGGCTAGTAAAATGATAAGTCTTATAATAAAGCTGTATTACTACAAGTTTTATCAGGAGCCCCATAATTCTGAATTTAAAAAGGGGATTGGACTAAATTCTTCTGCGACATTTTCAATAGTACTATCTGTCCTTAGCTAAGGTTTGGGATTTTTTTTAATAGAAAAATCTGTCTGTTAACTTTCTCTACTAGGAGTATAGGATAATAATATTTTAAAATTTGGAATTGTCAAGACACCTATGCTCTTGAAGCACTTCAAGAAATACAAACAGTGCTTTCTTTATAGGGCTCATGTATTGTTGGCATTAAGTAGTTTGTGGAGATTGAGTAATAGCCAAAACTTTTGGGGGTATCATCAGTGTGAGTTCATCGTTCATGTGAGTGAGTTCATGTCCTTTTCAGCAGTACTGAAAGTAGAGTGGCCGTATGGAGGCTAGAAGGGAAGAGGAAGTTGCTAACTTTCAAAATACCAACATTCTCATTTTTTAAAAAAATTATTCTGTTATGAAAATTTGCTGCAAGAGTTAAAACCAAACTTTTAATTAGATTAAGGACAAGCTTCTGCTAGGAGTCTTTGCTCTTATTTGAAAGGTTTCAAAAAGATACAACCAAAATATTTTCTCTAGTAGCACAGTGTGTTTGTTTTGACTAGGTTTGATTCTATATTGCTCACTTGTTATCCAAAGCTGTATTAAAGTAGGAACTAGCTCATGTTCCCCACAGAGATAAACTGGAGTCGTGAAGCAAGCCTTTCAAAAGACAGTAGTAAGTATTAGAAACTAAAACTACAGTGAAACAACTTAGTGTGGCTACCTTGCAACTTACTACTCTACTGAAGACAAAGTGCCTTTCTTTTCCCCCCCAAAAAGTCTGCTGAACTACTTCTTTTGCAAGAGCAGAAAAACTTAAAAACTACTTTAACTTCCACTCTGATTTATATGGCTGGGTGCTTTTTAAAAAAAGAATCAAATAGAGATATATTCGATGTGTTAGTAGCTTCAACAGTGTCATGTTTTGAACAATATTGAGCTCTTGCTGAAAAATTAATTTCCATAGACAGATAAATAGGGCAGAAAAATACCGTATGTCTAGAAAAAACATAGACTAGTTTATGTCTGTAGCTGGTCTGTAAGCCTTCTGCCATGCTTGTAGAAATCACTGTATTTGTATGCATGTTAGGTAGGACAAGGATGATAATGTAACATATACTTTCAGATGAGCCCTTAAGTTCAGCATTTCTGGGAAGAATAACAGCTAATAATAAAGCAAATACCTGAATACTATCAAACCAAAGTCTTGGCAGAAGGAATGCAGAGAAGACAATAGAAAAGTTGTTCACAAACTCATTTTGTAGGAGTTAATTACATTTTGGGCCCTGGGAGGGAGGTAAGTTTGGCATACACAATAAGAATGCCACAGGGCTGGGAACTATGACTTAAATAGCTCTTTGTCCAAGGAATTTGTTTGGCATACACAATAAGAATGCCACAGGGCTGGAACTATGACTTAAATAGCTCTTTTTCCAAGGAATTTGAGTTAAGATTATCAATACTGATTTCTGTTTAAAATCATAGAATCATAGAATGTTTTGGGTTGGAAGAGACCCCTAGAGGTCATCTAGTCCAACCCCCCTGCCGTGAGCAGGGACACCTTTAACCAGATCAGGTTGCTCAGAGCCCCGTCCGACATGGTGTTGAATGTTTCCAGGGATGGGACCTCCACTACCTCTCTGGGCAACCTGTTCCAGTGTTTCACTACCCTAAAGAATGCAATGGCAGTGGTGGGATTCAAACCTGTGTCCCCGAAGAGACTGGAGCCTTAATCCAGCGCAATCCCCTCAGTATTTGTTATTATATTGTAATTTGATCTGCCTTTTCCCCTTGTCAATCTTCAGATTAAGTGAAATGGCCATGATTTTTTTTTTTTTTTA